GTTGAAAAATCATTCTGTGAACTTTTTTTTTTTTTTTTTTGTTACGGTATGCACTTTATTTTCCTTGCAAGAAACACTGACTCCTCTGTAGAAAGTTACATTCTTTGAACGTATTCATGCCTAGCCTTGGGATTACTAACCTCTAATTAGAATATTTTGTCAATTGAAATTTTAACTTTTGTACGTTTCTCAAAGACGAGACCATTTCTTCTTTCATGATCTAGCCATTATTAGATTGGCTTTCTCGAAAGACTGGTGCTGTACGAAACCAAGAGATTACGAATTAACGATACTCGTGATACAAACAATGGCATGAAAGCAACTTCTAGCCCCATTATCCAATGTGGGTATTCATACTTCTCCATTTTGTTAAATCATATATGTCGAACCCGCATGGTGTTGAGAAGATGTATTGAAAGGAAAGGATTTTAAGCATAATTATAAGACTTAGAAGTCCTCATCTAGAGTTATAAATGCCATAAAATTTATTGATGTACAAGAATATGAATAAAGAGACTTGTTGTGTAAAAAAAAATGCATTACTTCAATACATTTTATTTAAACTAAATTGTATTGTTGTTTAATTATTTTTTATAGATTAAATTTCGCTATTTGTTGGTTTCATTTAAGTAAAAATCACTTTAAAAATAATTATTGCCACATTATTCAATATGGGCGTTCATGCTTCTTGATTTTGTTAAATTATACACTCCTTCCCTGGAAAACAGATTTACTGAACCTTGAGTGAATTTGGAAATAGCTCTACTCTCAGGAATACTGCCAGTTAATGTTAATGTAAACTAGATGAACCCTTGTTATGGAACTATGGCTAACTGTTTATACGAAATTCACATACAAATTCATTTGGCTAACTGTTTATACGAAATTCGCATACAAATTCATGAGCACTGTTATTCTATTCTGGGTGTCCCATTCACAGCGGACCCCTCCCCGTCCAACCAAAATGCCCTTCTGGTTCTTCCGTTTACCTTTCTCGGCTGTCAAGAGGCGTGTCAAAGAAGATTAGCATCGATACCGTCATGCATGGCGTATATCAAAACAGCAGCAACGTCCAGGAGATGATATGTATAGTCAACATTATTAACATTAATAATTCTTATTTAACCTAGAAAAACATAAAGTAAAGCGCAAACTGTGAGAAAGTGCTGAGAAGCTTCAATAGAAAAGGAAAGAACATGCATCGTGTTAATTATTGCATCTCTTATCTCCATAGTCAAGTCTTATTTCAACAGAGAATTGAAGTGAAAAAATAATATGAGAGAGAGACTCAAACTTCTCTCCCAAGCGTCTAACTACTCTGAGCATAGAAAAGGAAAATATATGTATATATGTACTATGTTTTAGCATCTTCTGGATGATCTCTGGTTTTGGTCTACTGATAATATCAATATAAAATATATATTTGCTTATGAATATGATTATGTAAGCAAATATATCGATAATAGAGGAAGAAAAACTCTTTTTCGAGGTATATCGCTTTCATTAACTAAATTCTTCTGAATTTGCTGACCCATCACACAAAAGCAAAGGCAAAAAAATATTGATGGTCAGAAGTGTGTTGCAGTTTTATTAAAATAATATTTTTTATTTTAAAAAAATATATTTAACTTCGGATCATTGAAATGATTTAAAAATATAAAAAATTATTTTTTAAAAAATACTGTTTGAAATGCATTGCCAGCTGCCCTCAATAGCAAATGTGTCCCGCCCACTGCCCAAGCAAGACTCTTTCATTAAATCAGCACTATAAATGACTATGGCAGGGAAAGAACAATCACCATACAAATCCCTTGGTCATGGCGGAGGTAGTGAAGCTGCTTGGAGCGTTCTCCAGACCATTTGTTTTCCGAGTGATATGGGCTCTAAAAATAAAGGGCATTCCATACGAGTTCATAGAAGAAGATGTTACCAACAAAAGTCCTCTGCTTCTGAAGAACAACCCTGTTTTTAAGAAGATCCCAGTGCTTCTCCATGGCGAAAAACCTGTTTGCGAGTCCATGATTATTGTCTAATGCATCGATGAGATACGGCCCAAAATCCCTGGTTGCCCAATGACGCTAACGAGAGAGATCTGGCTCGTTTCTAGGTCAAATTTACCGACGATAAGGTAAGCAGTAGAGGCATCAGTTTACATTACATATAATATTACTATGAAACCTGACTTAAAAATATTTTAAAAAAATTTAAATTTTTTCATTTTTTATTTTAAATAAATAATTTTTAATATTTTCTGATTATTTTTAATTTCAAAAATAAATTTAAAAAACTATGACAGTATATCTTAAAAATTAATTATTACTATAATCAAGCAAGCTCCTATTATTATTTTTTAAATAAATACTTAAACGAGTTCTGGCCTTTTAAAAAAATTGGTTTCTGCTGATTTGGTTAGTTCATGATCAATGATGAATCATTAGGTTGACTTCCCGAGCTGTTGTAATAAAATTGATTAAGGAAAAAAAAAAGTAAATGGAAAGGAATATAAAAGAAATACAACAGTGTTTATACACCAATCCGGAATTTAATAAAATAGCTGCATCAACCGACAACCATTATGGAGTGTTACAGTAGAAAAACAAGCTCAACAACAAGAGAAAAACCATCCATGGAATTATGGAAACGAAAAGGTGAGACATACATTGAATATCTCGCATCCAAAAGCATAATATAGGCTACTCGTTCACCAATTTCTCCCTGAAACCTTTCATAAAGAGTAGCAACTTATCATTGTCGGGAATGTTTTCTTTAATCAGAGGAACTTCAATGAAATTCTGCGCCCAAGCATGCAATCGAGGCAGTGTGCTTGGTTCAAGAAGTTTCACACCCGCTGCTTCTTCAATGTCTGGAAGCCAATAAGCGAAGAGTCCATAAGAGATGTCAACTAGGTTTATGCTGTCACCACCAAAAAACTTCTTGTCCCCGAGACCTTGCTCTTCTAAGACTCTCAACACTTCCACCACTTCTTTCACTGCCTTCTCTAGCTCTTCTCCACTAGCTCGGAAAAGGGCACCAAAGCCAGCACTCTAAACAATGAAAGAATTCAATTTACATGCAACAGAACAGAGATAAATGGATAGATATTAGAAGGTGTTTATCCTTAGGAGAGTAAAAATAAAAGAAGGCAAGTTATGAGAAATTTTTAATTATTATTCCACTTTAAGAACAAGAAGAAGAAAATGTTTTTGTGGAATCAATTGTTTTTTCCCAGGACTGCTACCAGATCAAATTAAACATTGTAGGCCTCATGAACAGTTACAAAATATATCCAAGAAGATGGATCTTGTTACCTTGGTAGCTCCATATTGAATCCAAAACCGAGCCATGGCTCTCTCGTAAGGATCTGTCGGTAGCAATGGATTCTCCGGCCATGTTTCCTCGATGTATTCAAGGATAACAAGAGACTCCGCCATCGGCTTGCCACCATGGACGAGTACAGGGATTTTCTTGTAAACTGGGTTATACTTCAATAGCAGTTCACTTTTATTGGTGAGGTCTTCTTCAATATGCTCAAACTCCACGCCCTTTAGTTTCAGAGCCCATATAACTCTGTAACAAAAAGGGCTAGCCCAGAAACCATGCAGCTTCACATCTGTCATCGTTCCAATGAGATCAGCATGCAAGGTCTCCTGCTGTGCCAAGTCTTCTTATAGCGACTTTTGCCCTGGGCAATAAGTTCGAGTTTGAAAGTTTTGGATGGAAGAAACATTATTATTATTATTATTATTATTATTATCAAAAAAATTTAAAATGCATGGAAAATACTGTAGTTTTCCATATTTTTTTTTAAATTAAATTTTTATTTTTTAAAAAAAATTATTTTTACTAATTTTTTAAATATTAAATTGATTGAAAACTTAACTACGTTTCTTTCAAACATTATAAATTACTATAATATTTTTCTATATTGTTTTTTACTTTCTTTTTATGATTTATTTTTTTTTCAAACTGGTTTTTATCGATTTATTTTTTTTATATTAAACTGGTTGTGAATTTATCTTTATAATTTTTTTAAAAATAACATTATGGATTATTACAGTGTTTTTCCAATATAATTTTTGTTTTGCTATAGTGTTTCTAACATGTTTTTGTTTTAAATTAACTTTGTTGAATTTATTTTTTTAATATTGAGCTGATTGGGAATTTAACTTCAGTTTTCCTCATATGTTTTTTTTTTCAATTTTTTTTCAAAATTGTCTTCTTTTTTTTTTTCAATTATTTTTGTCAATTTTTTTTTACTATTGAGCTTATTAAGAATTTAGTTTTTTTCTTAAAAAAAACTGTGAATTGTTTCAGTATTTTTCCACATGGTTTTTTTATATATTTTTTTTATTTTTTCATAATTATCTTTGTTGATTTTATTTTTTTCATATTGAGCTGACTAAGATTTTAGTTTTGTAGTTCTTTAAAACATCGTGGATTACTACAGTATTTTCCCACATAATTTTTGTCTTACTACAATGTTTCTTTACATGTTTTTTTAATGTTTGTTTAAATTGTCTTTATCAAATTTATTTTTTTATATAGAGTTGGTTCAAAATTTAGCTTTGTTGTTTTTTCCTTTAAAACATCGTTGATTGCTGTAATTTTTCCCCACATGATTATTTTTGTTATGATTTTTTTTAAAATTATTTTTGTCAATTTTATTATTTTTAATATTAAGCTAGTTGAAAATTACAACTGTAGAATTTCTCATGAAACACGATAGATTGTTATAATGTTTCCATGCATGGTTTTTTTGTGATATTTTTCAAAATTATCTTTGTTGATCTTATTTTTTAATATTGAACTAGTTGAGAATTACAATTGTATATTTCCTCACAAAACACTATAGATTGCTATAGTATTTTACTAAATGATTTTAATATTAAGTTGTTTGAGAATTTAGCTTTAACTTTTCTGTCTTGTTTTTTTATCAATTTTTTTTATTTTTTTTGCTTTTTTTTTCAAATTTGTCTTTTTTTTTCTTTTATTTTGTGTTGTTTTTTTTAGAATTATTTTTATCAATTTTATTTTTTTAATATTGAGTTGGTTGAGAATTTACCTTTGGTGTTTTTTTTTAAAACACTGTAAATTGTTACAATGTTTCTCCATGTGGTTTTTTTATGATTTTTTTTTAAAGTATCTTTGTCAATTTTATTTTTCTTATATTGAGCTGGTTGATAATTTAGCTTTGTAGTTTTTTTCTTTAAAACACTGTGGATTCCATAGTATTCCCCTGCATAATTTTTTTTGTTATAATTTTTTTAATTTTTTTTAATTTTTTAATATTAAACTAGTTGAAAATTATAATTTTAAAATTCTTTGTTTTTTTTATTGCAAGTATTGACTTGATCCTTAACTTTGATTCTGATTTTTTTTAATTTAACTTGGACATTGTAATTTGCAAGTAATTCTTGAATAATCTCATATTTACACATTAACAATATACTAAAAGGATTCAAATCTTATATTTGCACATTAACAATATACTAAAAGGATTCAATGCCCTTGTTATTGTTTACCTAGACACAGAGCACTATGGATTGGAGCAATGTAATGGTAGACCCAAGTGCTACTTAGCGCTTAGATCTTGGTAAAATGCCAGATTGGCTATAGAATCTGCAGCGCCACGTGGCGCTTGGAAAAATCTGAGCACCACCTGACCCTTAGGCAACTCCAAGCACCACCTGGCGCTCGGATCTTGACAAAAAGCCCGATTGACTATGGCAACCCAACTGCCACGTGGTGTAAGAGCAACTCAATTGTTACTAAGCCACGTGGCGCCTTCCATTATTATTATAATATTATTACTTATAATAAAAATAGTATTATTTATACCATAACGATAATATTTTTAATATCTACAATATTAATTATAAATAAAATAATATTATTTATAGTACAAATAATATTATTTTATTTTAAATTTTAATAACAATAATAATATTTTTTAACGCAAATACTATTCATTATACAAATAAAAATATTTTTGATATTAATACTTTTAATTATAATAAAAAATAAAATATTTATAACACAAATAATATTATTTTTAATAGTAATATTTTTAATTATAGTAAAAATAAAAATATTTAAAATCCTTCATTAGGACTCAATAAAATTAGGTTACGCCAAACCCATTAAGCTGGGTATATGACGCTGGACTCAAGACAATCAAATCATGCCCCAGACCTGAGATAATTGAGCGCTTGGGCTGCTCTAATGCGAGGAGCAGACCAAAGCACCACATGCACTTGGATCTTAGCAAACGACCTGATTAGCTATAACAACCTCGCTAACACTTGACACTCAGGTTCGGATGTGTCTATGTCCAACCACATATATGTTTATATAATAATATATATTATAAATATTATTTTCCTCTTATAATTCAAAGTCTTCATATCAAAAATATTATTATTTGTGTTATAAATATTATTACTTTTATTGTAAGCTGAAGTATTAATATAAAAAATATTATTATTTATGTTGTAATCATCCTTGAAATTCTTAATATAATTATTTATGTTATAAATATAATTATTTTTATTATAATTAATTGTATGAATATTAGAAATATTATTTTTTGTGTTATAATTATTTTTATTTTTATTATGATTAAGAGTATTAATATTAGAAATATTATTTTTTGTGTTATAATTATTTTTATTTTTATTATGATTAAGAGTATTAATATTACAATTAGTATTATTTGTGCTTTAATTATTTTTTTTTTATTGTGATTAGGAGTATTAATATTAGAAATAGTATTATTAATATTTTTTATTATCATTAAAAGTATGAACGTGTTCACGCCCAACCCGATGTTGAGCCTAAACGCGTCCACGCCCATTTTCTAGTGGGTTAGACACAACAATGCCAAAATCCAAGTTGGATATGGATGCATTCACATTCACATCTAAGTGGGGCTAGATATGTCCATGCTCAAATCCAAGTTGAGTCTAGATGCTTCCACACTTGCCTCTAAGTTGAGTCTGGATGTATCCGCGCTCAACCACATGTATTAATATAATAATATGTGTTATAAATATTTTTTTTTCTTATAATTTAAAGTGTTCAGATTAAAAATAATATTATTTATATTATAAATATTATTATTTTTATTACAATTAATAAACTTAAAAAAATATTATGTTTTATATTATAAATTTTTAAAGTAGTTTTTATGAAAATAAAAAGCAAGCCCGTTTTTTAACAGGGGGGTTTAACTAGTAATGATGAAATGAGATTCATCAAACAAAAAAAACAAAGAAAAGAAACAAGATTCGTTTCAAACAAATTTGAAGATATGTTAAAATCAATGAATATCACAATCTTATTAACTATTCAAAGTTTTTTATTTTTTTTCTTGAAAATTCGTTAAAATTAATGAATATTGTTGAAAATTCATTCTATGAATTTTATTTTTTTTGTTACAGTGTACAATTTATTTTCCTTGCAAGAAACATTTGACTAGTCTATAGAAAGTTACGTTCTTTGAACGTATTCATGCCTAGCCTTGGATTGGTAATCCAGTGTTAATCAACCACGAAAAGTATGAGGGTCAACGAACTCAGGATATTCTAAGCTTGCAGCCTAATTAAAATTTATTGACTCAACAACATATATAAAAGGTCTTGCTTAGATAACCCTGGTCAGGAGAAAAATCCATCCAGCGTTCTCTTGGTCCATACATGTTTATACATGAATTTTGGCTAAGTGTTTTACGAAATCCACATACAAATTCATGAGCACTGTTATTCTATTCTGTGTGTCCAATTCACAGCAGACGCCTCCCCGTCCAACTAAAATGCCCTCCTGTTCTTCCGTTTACCTTTCTTGGCTGTCAAGAGGCGTGCCAAAGAAGATTAGCATCGATACCATCATGCATGGCGTTTAGCAAAACAGCAAAGTCCAGGAGATGATAAGATATTCAACTTTATTAACATTAATAATGCTTATTTAACCCAGAAAAACATGAAGTAAATCGCAAACTGTGAGAAATTGCTGGGAAACTTCAATAGAAAAGGAAAGAGCACGCATCGCGTTAATTGTTGCATTTCTAATCTCCATAGTCAAGTCTTATTTCGACAGAGAATTGAGGTGAAAAAAGAGCGTTTGAAGCATTCCCAGCTGCCCTCAATAGCAAATGTGTACTGCCAATTGCCCAAGCAAGACTCTTTCATTAAATCAGCACAATAAATGACTATGGCATGTAAAGAGCAATCACCATACAAATCCCTTGGTCATGGCGGAGGTAGTGAAGCTGCTTGGAGCATTCTCCAGACCATTTGTTTTCCGAGTGATATGGTCTCTAAAAATAAAGGGCATTCCATATGAGTACAGAAGAAGATGTTACCAACAAAAGTCCTCTGCTTCTGAAGAATTAACCCTGTGCTTAAGAAGATCCCAGTGCTTCTCCATGGCGAAAAACCAGTTTGCGAGTCCATGATTATTGTCTAATACATCGATGAGATATGGCCCCAAAATCCCTTGCTGCCCAAAGACCCCTACGAGAGAGCTCTCGCTCGTTTCTGGGTCAAATTTACCGACGATAAGGTAAGGTAAAGAGTACAGTCATCATTTTACATCATATAAAATATTACTATGAAACCGGATTTAAAAATATTTTTTAAAAAATTTAATATTTTTTATTGTTTATATTAAATTAATAATTTTTAATATTTTAAAATATATTTTCGAGTATATTTTAAAAGTATTTTTAAAATTTTTTAATTTTTTATTTTAAAATACTAATTTTTAGTATTTTCATATTCTTTTAATATGTTAAATTTAAGAATTTTTTAAAAAATAAAAAAATATTATTTTAATATATTTTCAAATAAAAAAACTTTAAAAATCATTACTTGAACTTTCAAATACCCTTTATTTATTATTGTTGTTGTTGTTAATAGAAACATAAAAATATTTATTTTAAATTAATTTTTTAATGTTTTTATATTATTTTTAATTTCAAAAATAAATTTTAAAAAATATAAAAGTATATCTTAAAAATTATTAATTACTATAATATCAAACAAGCTTTAATTATTATTTTTAAATAAATACTTAAACTAGTTCTGGGCTTTTAAAAAAAATTGGTTTCTGCTGATGTGGTTAGTTCATGATCGATGATGAATTATTAGGTTGACTTGCCAAGCTGTTCTAGTAAAATTTATTAAGGAAAAAAAAGTAAATGGAAATGAATATAAAAGAAAGACAACAGTGTTTATACACCAATCCGGAATTTAATGCAATAGCTCTGCATCAACCATTATGGAGTGTTACAGTAGAAAAACAAGCTCAGCTACATGGAATATTTCGCATCCAAAAGCATAATATAGGCTACTTGTTCATCATTTTCTCCCTCACACCTTTCATATGGAGTAGCAACTTATCATTGTCGGGAATGTTTTCTTTAATCAGAGGAACTTCAATGAAATTCTGGGCCCAAGCATGCAATCGAGGCAGTGTGCTTGGTTCCAAAACTTTCACACCCGCTGCTTCTTCAATGGCTTCAAGCCAACAAGTGAAGAGTCCATATGAGATGTCAACTAGATTTATGCTGTCACCGCCAAAAAACTTCTTGTCCCCGAAACCTTGCTCTTCTAAGACTCTCAGCACTTCCACCACTTCTTTCACTGCCTTCTCTAGCTCTTCTCCACTAGCTCGGAAAAGGGCAACTAAGGCAGCACTCTAGATAATGAAAGAATTCAATTTACATGCAACAGAACAGAGATAAATGGATAGATATTGGAAGGTGTTTAGCCTTAGGAGAGTAAAAATAAAAGAAGGCAAGTTATGAGAAATTTTTAATTATTATTCCACTTTAAGAACAAGAAGAAGAAAATGTTTTTTGCAATCAATTGTTTTTTTTTGCAGGACTGCTACCAGATCAAATTAAACATTGTAGGCCTCATGAACAGTTACAAAATATATCCAAGAAGATGGATCTTGTTACCTTGGTAGCTCCATATTGAATCCAAAACCGAGCCATGGCTCTCTCGTAAGGATCTGTCGGTAGCAATGGATTCTCCGGCCATGTTTCCTCGATGTATTCAAGTATAACAAGAGACTCCGCTATTGGCTTGCCACCATGGACGAGTACAGGGATTTTCTTGTAAACTGGGTTATACTTCAATAGCAGTTCACTTTTATTGGTGAGGTCTTCTTCAATATACTCAAACTCCACGCGCTTTAGTTTCAGAGCCCATATAACTCTGTAACTAAAAGGGCTAGTCCAGGAACCATGCAGCTTCACATCTGCCATCCTTCCAATGAGATCAGTATGCAAGGTCTACTGCCGTGCCAAGTTTTCTTATAGCGACTCTTGGCTTGCGCAATAAGTTTTGGATGCAAGAAACATTTTTTTCTATTGCACGTATTGACTTGACTTGGTCCATAACTTTGAGTCTGATGTTTTTTAATTTAACTTGACATCGTAATTTGCAAGTAATTTTTGAATAATCTCGGATGTGCACATGATGATTGAACGAGATTCATCAAACAAACAAAAAACAAAGAAAAGAAACAAGATTCATTTCAAACAAATTTGAAGGTATGCTAAAATTAATGAAAATCACAATCTGATTAAGTTTTCGAAGATTTTTAGTTTTTCACTTGATAATATGTTAAAATTAATGAATATCATTGAAAATTCATACTATGAACTTGTGTTTTTTTTTTTTTGGTTTGTTCATCACGGTGTGCTGTTTATTTTCCTTGCAAGAAACACTGACTACTCTGTAGAAAGTTATATTCTTTGAACGTATTCATGCCTAGCCTTCGGCTTAGGTGGTGCATATGGACACACTTAGTCATGAACCTGTCTGGTTAGTCATGAACCTGTCTGGCTTTTGAAGAAATCTCAGTGCCCATCTCCATGAAATGCCTACCAATATCATGATGTTATTGAATTCAGAAAAGCAGAAATAAACTATCCCTGATTTGACAACCTTTTTCTTGCAAAATAATCCATTGGCTATCTGCATTGATCACTAATTAACTACAAACTAAAACTATCAGCTTTTTTAATGTTGAGGTTTATAGTATAATAAGTTAAATCTTAAATTTATTTTTTAGAGTTTATGAGCTCCAAGTATTATAAATTTTAGAATTATTAAAAATTTATTTAGTTATTAATTTTAAAATCTTATAGGATTAATTAATGTACATGTAAGCTAATAACATAAAACATCTATAATTATTAAAAAAAAAATTATCGTTTTCATATGCTGGAATTATTTTACATTTCTTTATAATTCATTGGAATTGAACTACTGTGTTTTTTGTAATTTTTATTTTGATATTTAAATTTTTATTTTGTGTAATCTAGTTTTTCCATGTATAAATTAGTTTCAAATTACATTTTTTTAAAAAAAAAAATGTTGAATTGAAATATAGAAAACTACAGAAAAAATATCGAGTAGGTTAAAAATTTTCTTAAAACATTCATTTTAATTCTTCCATGTTTTTTAGATATTAGATGATCAATTCTTTAAATTTAAAGAAAATATATTTTGATACCTAATTTTATTTTATTTTTTTCTAGTTATTTTCTACTGAAAGAGAGAGAGAAAGTCATCAAATTCCAACTTAAATGGAAAAAGTTGTCAATGAAAAAGATTTTGACCACCAGAACAATTTATTTTTATATCAAAATATTTCATATAAAAAGAGAGTCATGTTTGGGTGTTTGTTTATCTTTAAAACACCTCAAACAACAAATTTATGCTAGTGAAAATTTTTTGTTTCTGTGTTTTAGGGTTTTGTGGTGATTTATTGAGTTTTTGGAAATCATAGATTTATTTAATAAGGTTTTTACAGTATTTTCAATATATTTTGAGTCAAATTAGGTTGAAAATGAGATTTTTAATTAAAAAAAGATTTTATTTTTTTAACCACCATAGTAGTTGGATTCTAGGTTTTGCAGGCTATGTGTTTATATATATATATATAATTAGAGCGGATAATATGTTGTTAACCTCATTAAACTTTTTTTTTTTTAAATAAAGGCTTGTGTGTGGATCGTTGTTTTATTAGGTCATGCATTAGGTCTGCCTTGATTTTTTTTTAATTTTTGTTTTTTTAAAAAGTAATATGCTATTCGTGTATATTTTTTCAAATAAATTTTGGGTTTATATTTTAAAAATATTGTGATTATTTTAAAAAGATATTGAGTGTGTTTAATTTTTAGAGAGATGAGTATAATTTACTTGTGATTTTTTCTTAATTTTGTATATATTAATTTTTTTAATATGATTTTTTATAAGGTTTTTTTATATATGTAGCCTTGCATTTTTTTTAAAAAAAATTATTGTTTAGTAAATTTTATGCGCGTGTTAATTTATATTATAAATTTTACGTGTTTTTATTTTATAAATTAATTTTGATAAAAAAATTCATTAGATATAATAAGGTAAATTACTCTTATTATAATGTTAAATATCTTGATTTTTATTTTTAGCTTAGTTTTTTTAATTTCATTTTTGTCCATTGTTGATGATTTTTTTTGCATTGCTTTACATAATAGTTATTGGATTATTTAATTAGATGCATACATAAGTTATTTGATTTATACTGAGAAGTTTTTTTAGTATAAAAAACACTTAGAAGAACTCTGTATATTCAATTTTATTTATCTTTTGATGTTCAAGATTTGATATTTATTTTTATAATTTTTAGTTTATTTTTGAATTTTTTATGAAAGTTTTAGTTTTTTAAGTTTTATTATTCAATCTAAGTTTAAAATGTATTATTTTTTCTTTGTTCTTTATTAATATTCTTATTCTCTTTAATTTAACTCTCAAAACTAAAATTCGTTATTGTTTTTCAATTTATTTTTATTGCAATTTTTAACACTTATTGTTTTTATTTTGGATTTTTTATGTTTTTATTTTTGTAATTTTAACCCTCATTATTTTTATATATTTAGTTTTTTTAGTCTTATAACTCAAATTATAATTTATATTATTCATTGGAGACTTTTCTTCTTGGCTGTGCAAATAAATGGAAAATTAGAAGAGGAACAGTCAAAGTTAGGCTGCATGGTTTGACGAAGGTATTTTTCTGCCCCATCTTATCCATGGCCGCCTCTGTTCAAGCTGAGATTGCCCTTGAAAATCCTGAGATAATTGAAAAATTATTTTTATTAAATTTATTTTTTTTATATTGAGTTGGTTAAAAATTTAAATTTATTACTTTTAAAAATATTGTTGATTGTTATAATTTTTTTCAAAATTATCTTTGTTGATTTTATTATTTTTAATATTGAGCTGGTTAAAAATTACAACTATAGATTTTCTCATGAAACACTATAGAATAATACAGTGTTTCCTTGTATGTTTTTTTTGTGATATTTTTTAAAATTATCTTTGTTGATCTTATTTTTTTTTTAATATTGAGCTAGTTAAGAATTGCAATTGTATATTTTCTTACAAAAGACTATAAATTACTATAGTGTTTTTCTAAATCATTTTAATTTTGAGCTAGTTGAGAATTTAGCTTTAACTTTTGCGACATGTTTTTTTATCCATTTTTTTCTTTTTTTTTGTGTTGTTTTTTTAGAATTTTTTTTGTCGATTTTATTTTTTCAATATTAAACTTGTTGAGAATTTAGCTTTATAGTTTTTTCTTTTAAAACACTGTGGATTGCTACAGTGTTTTTCCATATGGTTTTTTTTCTTTTTTTTATGATTTTTTTATAGAATTATCTTTGTCGATTTTATTTTCCTCATATTGAGCTGGTTGAAAATTTAGCCTTGTAGTTTTTTTTTAAAAACACTGTGGATTGCACAGTATGCCCCTACATGATTTTTTTTATTGTGATTTTTTTCAAAATTATCTTTATTGATTTTATTATGTTTAATATGGAGCTGATTGAGAATTACAACTTTAAAATTCCTTGTGGTTTTTCTATTGCAAGTATTGACTTGATTCTTAACTTTGATTTTGATTTTTCTAAAATTTCACTTGGACATCGTAATTTGCAAGTAATTCTTGAATAATCTCATATATGCACATTAACAATATATTAAAAGTGCTTAATATCCCTGTTATTGTTTACATAAACACAAAGCACTATGGATTGGAGCAGTGTAACGATAGTCCAGCCCTTGCCACAAAGAGTTGCAAGGGTAATGGGGGAAGGATGGAGTTTTTTTTTTGCTGGGGTGCATTTGGTATTGAAGAGGGGTGCATATATTATTTTTCTCTTATAAGGGGAGAAAATTGTCAGCACAAGTTTTGGTGGAGCTGTAGGTCATGAGGAGTAGGCACTTGGTGCTGGCGCTGCCCACACAAGGACAGCTAGTGCTTAGGGTGCCCGACCCTTACGCAGGGTGGACTGAGCGCCATATGGCTCCTGCGCAGCCCTGTCCTTGCGTTGGGCAGACCCAAGTGCTACTCAACGCTTGAGTCCTGGA